TGGTCTACCATCTATTATGCCACAAGTATGGGTTTGGATTATTTGAATGCAGCCATTCACAGAGAAAACGGAATATCGCGAATAATGGAAGGAATGTGAAAAAAGAACTAGTAAAATAATAATAATAAGTTTATGAGTCATAGACTCGACACTTTTTGTCTTCGAATGCAATCGTGGTACTATTTATCCCGCCCTCTCCTTGATTAATTTTACTATAACTTCTTAGAGTCCACCGAGAAGTTTATAAGGGAAGGCTTAAACCTTTTCTAGTGTTATCTTAAGAAAGGCTGAGCCTTTGACTTTATTATCTTTAATTTTAACGATGTCTTTGTAGTCAAGATATAACTTATCTTCATCCACATATTCTTATAAGAAAGTAATAACACCAGTTCGCATCCATTTTTGAATTTCTTTAACTAATGAAAGAGAAATGGTCGTACATTCTACCCTTTATAGAAATAATCGGATTGATATACAATAGGTCACGTATTATTACACATAAAAATGATGATATTGAAATTTTAATAGATTGCAAAAATTATTTCTGAGTCAAAATTATGAAGAAATCTTGTAAGAATTTTGCCTCCCCACACTTTAGTTTTATTATCAGCCAACATATTTCCAATAATACAGATAAGTTGGAATAATTCATCTCGACCAAATTTTCCAAAGACATCTTCCCATTTTTTCTATAGCAAATAAATCTATTCCACCTTTGATGAGAGATATCGTAGTAATTGGGGAATGTTACCGACCATTAAATTTCGAGTTAATTATCTCTATCAAAGAAGAATTTGCGATTGGGGAATAGTAAAGTATAAATAGGGATACCTATCCATTTTTTCTAGTAAGATTTATAGCATTGATAATTGATTATATAACAATCATATAATTTATCAGATAATGATTCTTAGTATTCGTTTACTTATCTTTCGGATAGATGTAACCATGATTTCGAAATACTTGATTCCTATATATCCAAATTTGGATTACGAGATGGAGAATCATTGTTGATAATTCTAGAATCATTCAGGGATTAAAAATGTATTTGAAATCAAGAATGTTAATATACAAAATGGTCGGAATTAGCACTATAGAGAATGTAGAATTCAGTTTATTAGGTGATAAGGATCATGAAAAAAATGCGCATATGGAGATACATAGTTATGAACTATTTTTACCTGGAGGACAGCCGGTCGATGGTGGAATTTATGACCTAAAACTCGGTACAACGGATCATAGCTATCTCTGTGCTGTTTGTCAGAATGGGAAGAAAAAATGTCCAGGCCATAGAGGATATCTAGCTCTTAAAGCTGGGGTATTACAACCGATAGGAATTCCCGAGATCAGACGATGGTTACGGATCACTTGCTTCCAATGATCGAATCTTGGACCTGTCCATTCACTGGCCCAGAAGTTTTTGTCGATATAAACCAGTTGGCTATAC